GCAACTTTAGCTGCTCTCCTATGTCAGAGTCAAGGAAAGAGTAGGACCCTGAGACCTGGGATAGGATTAGGGTAGACAAATCTAAGAATCTTTATCTCATAAATTCTCCTGAATTTTCTTGGGTGGGAGAGCCATCCCTGCCCTCTTACCAAGGAAGGACAATTGCCCTTTCCCTTGAGACTCTGCAATGATCTCACATGAAGCAGGTGCCTCATAAGACGGCATTTAATCTCCTCCAGATCTGCTCCCACTACCTCCTCAAATAACTAGGGTCAGTTTCTGGCAAAGCCTGAGTGGGAAAACTTAAGTCCTGACCTGGGGAAAATAAGCCACACATCAAAGGAATCAAAAGATCTAGCTAATACAGGTGGGAGAGACCATGGGGGTTTTAGACACGGCAGTGAGGGACAGCACGGCAGAAGAGAAGACTGGCTAATAAGGAACACATCATCACGGACCACTGTCCCATAACTCAGGTTTCAATTTTTTTTTTAAAGATTATCTTTTGAAGTCATCTCTTCACCCAGTGCGGGGCTTAAGCCCACAAGGCCGAGATCAAGAGTTACATGTTCCACCAACTGAGCCAGACAGGTGCCGCTCAGTCTTCTTGTAAGGATAGCTAGAGCTGGTCTCTGGTAGATAGTTTCCAAACACAGTCAGCATCCGTTTCTTCCCTTCCTCTACATACATGCCATTCCTCACATCAAGAGACAGAGTCTGGTTTCCTCTTCTCCTTGAACTTGGATAGGCCTTGTAATTTGCCTTAACTAACAGAATATGGCAGCTCTTTCATCTGGGCTGCCATCCAGACTGAGGAAGACCCAGAAACTTTGGGGCCACGTGGGCCATGGCCACAGCCTCACTGGCAAGCACCAGAAGCACCCAGGAGGCCGGGGTAATGCTGGTGGCATGCATGACGACAGGATCAATCTTGACAAATATCATCCAGGCTACTTTGGTAAAGTTGGTAGGAGGCATTGTCATTTAGAGAGGAACCAGAGCTTCTGCCCAACTGTCAACTTTGATAAACTGTGGACGTTGGTCCGTGAGCAGACATGAGTACATGGTGCCAAAACCAAGACTGGAGCTGCTCCTCTTGTTGAGGTGGTGCGATCAGGCTACTACAAAGTTTTGGGAAAGGGAAGGCTCCCTAATAGCCTGTCGTTGTGAAGACCAGACTCTTCCGTAGAAGCACTGAGGACAAGATTAAGGGTGTGGAGGGGAGCCTGTGTCCTGGGAACTTAAAGTCACATGGAGGGAGGCTCATTAAATACTAATAAGTCCTTTAAAAAAGAGAGAGAGAGAAAGAGAGAGAGAGAGAATATGGTAGAAGTGACACTGTTCTAGCTCCAGACCTAAGCTTTAAGAATATTGGCAGCTTCCATTTCCTCCCTCTTAGAAGACAGCCACCATGTAAGAAATCCAACAGAGGATCCACAGAGAGCCTCATACTGTGAGGAAGTACATGCCAGCCATGTGAAGACACCATATTAAGAGAGATGACTGACTCGTGCCTGGGTGTTCCATCCATCCCGGTTGAAGTGCCATTTATGTAAGTGAAAAAGACACCTTTGACATTTCTTTTCCTACAAACACCTGTAAACACCACATGAAGCCTATGGACACCCAAGTAAGCCTCACCCAGATTGCAGAATTGTGAGAAATGATAAATTGCTGTTGTTTTATGCCTTTAAGTTGGGGGGAGTTTTGATTCAGCAATAAATAATTGAAATACGGCCTTAATACTTTGCAAGGATTGTTCCTTAAAGCAGGATGATGGCTTACAACAAATGAGGTCAAGATGCTAGAACTTCCATGGTAGAGTGTTTAAGAGGTCGGAAAGTTCAGGGAGAGGGGTGCCTGGCAGGCTCAGTGGGAATAGCTTGCGACTATTGATCATGAGTTCAAGCCCCACGTTGGATGTAGAGATTACTTAAATAAAACTTAAAAAAAAAAGAAAAAGAAAGGTCAAGGAGGTGGGAATGGAAGATCCAAGAGCTCAGCACCTGACTATGTTCTCTAGAGAGCCGAGAGGACACTCTTTACTAAGGCAATAAGGGGTTCACTGAGAAAGGTGACATCAGAAAACAGTGGTGTCTGTCTTTAGTAGGATGAGATGAAGACAGAGAGATGCTGCCATGGAACTGGGATCCCTAATATCAGTGGTCATAACTGATTCTGGGAGGCCTGATATGGGGCTTGAACTCACAAACTATGAGATCATGATCTGAGCCAAAGTCAGACGTTTTAACTGACTGAGCCACCCAGGCACCCCCTCCTTTCATTTTCTTTTCTTTTCTTTTTTTTCTTTCTTTAACATTTATTTATTTTTTAGAGACAGAGAGAGACAGGGCATGAGCAAGGGAGGGGAAGAGAGAGAAGGAGACACAGAATCTGAAGCAGACTCCAGGCTCTGAGCTGTCAGCACAGAACCCGACGCGGGGCTCGAACCCACGAACCGTGAGATCATGACCTGAGCTGAAGTCGTATGCTTAACCAACTGAGCCACCCAGATGCCCTTGATTTTATTTTTAAGTAATCTCTACAGACTGGGTAATTCTCAAGAATTAATTAATTATTAATTAATTCTCTATCCATATCTATATTTTTAAGTGGTCTCTACACCCAACATGAGGCTTGCACTTACAAACCCAAGATCAAGAGTCACATGCTCTAAAGACTGAGCCAGCAAGATGCCACTTTTTTTTTTAATGTTTATTTATTTTTGGGAGAGAGAGAGACAGAGCGTGAGTGGGGGAGGAGAAAAGAGAGAGGGAGAGACAGAATTTGAAGCAAGCTCCAGGCTCTGAGCTGTCAGCTCAAAGTAACATGCTGTGAAATCATGACCTGAGTCGAAGTCAGGTGCTTAACCGACTGAGCCACCCAGGTGCTCCTGCCAGATGCCCCTTTCATTTTTCATTTAAAAAAAAATCAAGAGCTGGGGAGCCTAGGTGGCTCAGCTGGTTAAGTGTCCAGCTCTTGATTTCAGCTCAGGTCATGATCTCATGGTTCATAAGATCTAGTCCCACATTGGGGTCTGTGCTGACAGCACAGAGCCTGCTTGGGATTCTCTCTCTCCCTCTCTCTGCCTCTCCCCCACTTGTGCAGTCTCTCTAAATAAATAAATTTAAAAAATATATATCAAGGGGCGCCTGGGTGGTTCAGTCAGTTGAGCGTCTGACTTCGGCTCAGGTCATGATCTCTCAGTTTGGGGGTTTGAGCCCCGCATCGGGCTCTGTGCTAGCAGCTAGCTCAGAGCCTGGAACTAGCTCAGAGCTCTAACCCTCCCCTGCTCACGCTGGCTCTCTCTCTCTCAAAAATAAATAAAACATTAACATTTTTTAAAAAATATATCAAGAGCTGGGGTGCTGGGTGGCTTATTCAGGTTGAGCATGTGACTCTTACCCCATTCAGGTCATGGTCCCAGGTCCCAGGTCATGGGATTGAGCCTTGCATCTGGCTCCCCACTAAGCACGGAACTTCTTAAGATTCTCTCTCTCTCTCTCTCTCTCTCTCCCTCTCTCCCCGACTTGTGCTCTCTCTAAAAAAAGGGGAGGGGGAATATTAAAAAAAATCAAGAGCTAATAAGCAGAAGACTGACATTAGTCACCACAATGGAAAATCACATTCCCTTATCCAGATCCTAGATCTAAGTTCACAGAACCAGAACCTCTTGACTATAGGCCCTGCCCCAATAAGGAACAACTCTGCAGTGACGGGTAGCACAGTTACGTAGAATCAGTGCTCCTCCAATCCTTCCCCAAAGGGGTCTGCTTCCACTTGCCGGGGCAATTGTGCATTAGGAAAAGAATATTCAGCATTGTCGAAGATTGCTAGACACGGAGTCGGAGCTGACACAGAAAGTCGGAGACACAAAACACCAACAGAGCTTTCTGGCGGGAGTAGGAACTCAGGCCAGGTGATAGATCGAGTCTAGCCTCAATCCGGTGGTTTACATGATCCTGCAGCTACAATGTGGCTGGTGGCGCCTGTGCTGGATAACGTTTCCGTAGGGAGTTTATGGAAGCTCAAAAAGGAGAGAGTTGCAGTGAGGAGCCCTGAGATTCTGGAGTAAACATACTCACCATGGTCCATTTGAACAAAAGGTCCTCTTTCTCCCCACTTTTTTTAAATGTTTACTTTTGAGAGAGAGACAGAGAGACAGAGCACGAGCGGGTGAGGGACACAGAGAGAGGGAGACACAGAATCCGAAGCAGGCTCCTGTTAGCAAAGAGCCTAACACCGGGCTCGAACTCACAAACTGAACCATGAGATCATGACCTGAGCCAAAGTTGGACACTTAACTGACTCAGCCACCCAGGTGCTTCTCTCCCACTTTTTTTCTATTATTTATTATTATTTTTAAATTTACATCCAAGTTAGTAAACTTGGTCCTGGATGTGTCACATCCCACTGTACCTCTGGGTGCCAGGTAGCTGTATGTCTTCAGCCAGATGGTATCAGACAGGCAGCACAGCAATCCAATATGATGGAAGTGGTAAATTCAGGGCTGGGCTCATAGGGTTCAGAAGGCAGAAGTAAATCAAATGAATAGGCAGCTAGGACTCCCATAGCATCTAACTCTGTTGATCTGACACCTCTCCTTTAACTCACATCTATGGTCTCATGAAGGGTTCCAGGATGCAGAAAGTTCTCAATAAATGGTAGGCATGATTATGAATTGAGTTGAATTGTGGAAGCTCTCTGTGCCCCAGAGGACCTGGCGTTCCGGCTTCACTAAGCCCGGCAGGACCACAGATCCCGCTCTAGCATGATCTGATGCTTTGAATACTCTTAGCTATTCAGAAAATCCCTGGCTTGCATTACAAGTTCCTGTTAATGGATACAGTAGAGATTCCGTCACCGAGCAGAGCTGGAGGAAAAGGAGAAAAGAAACTACAGAATGAGTGCAGGAAATGGAAAGTCTGATGAGGATTGGTTGCTTGCCCGGCTGGGGAGGAGAGGAAACAATCCAAATGGGACTATAAAAAGCCAGCCTTCAGCCCCAGAGCTATAACCTCACTGCTGTTCCCATCTACATCTACCATCAGGCTCCGGGAAGGAAGACTCCTCCTCTCCCCTCCTCCAAGGTAAACCCAGAAGCCAGGAAATGTGGATGTAGAGCTGCCAAACCTTTGCCAGGCTGCCTGCCTGTGAGCCTTATGCCCCGGGAGCAGGACACCATTCTTCAGGGAGGCTATACTCGTGGGTCCCCTGTAGTGCCCTGGGCTAAGACTGGTCTGAGGAGGTGGGTTGGGGCCTTTTGGGGGGGGGGTGTTGCCCAACCCCAGACTTAGGTTGTAGGTATCAAGGCAGCAATCTATGGCCTTAACTCTAGCACTTCACTTCTTTGGGCTTTAGCTTGTCATGTAAAACCGAGATCAAGCTACCTTACCTGCCCAAAGGACTGGGCCATGTCTGAGACCCATTTAACGCAAGATCTAACGTGACAATGAGTTCATCTTTGAGGGTAGATGAAGTTATCGGAGTGGTTGCTAAAAGTGTGGGTTTTGGGGGTGCCTGGGTGGCTGAGTCAGTTAAGCTCAGACTTGGGCTCAGGTTAGTGAGTTGGAGCCCTGCATCAGGCTCCCTGCTGTCAGCGCAGAGCCTGCTTGGCATCCTGTCTTCCCTCTCTCTCTGCCCCTTCCCTCCCCCTTTTCTCAAAAATAAACATTTTTAAAAAGTGTGGATTTGAGCATGAGTCTAGGCTGCAACAATTTGCTGTGTGACTGTTGTTGCCACGAGGAAACTGAAAGCCCACGGCTCCTTAGAGGGGTCCTGGGCTCAGTCCAGAGCACCTCGCTGCTTTTTATGGACTCCTCCTCAAATAGGAAGGGAAAACAACCACGCGGGTCCAAAGGGGCTCTGAAGACTCATCTCCGCACCCCCCCACCCCCCCCTCATCCCCCACCCCCCCGCCCCTTCCACCACCCTTTCCACCACCCCTCACCCTCCCACCGCCTCATCCCCCACCTCCATCCCCCACCCCCCACCTCGTCCACCGCTCCACCCCCCCACCCCCCCACCGCCCCGTCCACCACCCTTTCACCACCCCTCACCTCCCACCACCTCATCCCCCACCCCCCCGCCCCCCCCCGCCCCCACCACGGCCCCGTTCACCGCCCCACCCCTACTCTCTTCTCTGGGCCAGTCACGAAACCTGCGCGCGGCGCCACCATGCGGCAGAAGGTGGTATCGCTCTTCTTGTGCTATCTGCTGCTCTTCGCCTGCGGCGGGGTGGAGGCAGGTAAGCGTCCTGGTGCAAGGGGGGGCTGTGGGATAAAGAAACCGAGTTTCAGAATCCCAGCGTAGAGTTTCAGGAAACCTGGTTCCGAGCCGAGAAGAGCTATTACAATGGACAGCTCCAGGTCACTGTTGCCAGAGTCCCAGATTCGAATCCTTACATATCAGTTCGTCCATTCCACCGAAATGTACTCCGTGCCAGTGATGTGCCAGGCACCGCGCCTTGGATGAAGTCTCTTCCCTTCAGCGAGGCTCCCCGAAATGGAAGGATGGGGGTGGTCCTGAGCATCAGGCACAGTATAGGGAACCCTGCTCCGCATTCCACTTTGTCCCCTCCTGATAGGCAAAAGAAGACAGTCAAAAGAAGAGCGCTCAAAGGACAGCGGCTCCGGGTTCTGGGGCGCCCTGACCTACATGGCTGTCGGAGGAGGTGGGTCCAGGGGGAGGAAAGCTCGGGAAGGTGGGCGCGCCCCTGCTGCGGGCGCTCCCTCACCTCCTCCCCCTTCCAACAGGGCTCCTGGCCGCGGGGCTGCCCGCTCTGGGCTTCATGAGCACCGGCATCGCAGCCAACTCCGTGGCTGCCTGGTTGATGAGCTGCTCCGCCGTGGCGAACGGGGGCGGTGTGCCCGCCGGGGGGCTGGTGGCGGGACTGCAGAGCCTCGGTGAGTGGGCGGCCGGGTCCTTGGGCGGGGATGCCAGGGCCAGGTGAGTCTAGGAGTCGGACATTCTTACATCTCCATCATGCAGTGGGGAAACTGAGGCAACGAGTTAAGTAATTCACTCAAATTCTCCCAGTTAATTAGGACTAAAGCCGGGATTAGAACCTAGTCTGACTCCTCGCTTTTAGCCACTAAAGCCAGGTGCCTCACTGATGCTTTGGCCATATCGGAATAATGGCCGGCCTCATCTGTTAGCCGGCCTCAGTTTTCTCATCTGTTAACAGGGATGACCGTCCTCGATGTAACATTTTATGAATCTGCTCAAACTCAGACAACCAGAGTGGCAAAGAGAGGTGGTGGAGAGGGACGCCTGTTTGGCTCAGGGGGTTGTGAGTCCAGCTCCACATTGGGTGAACAGATTACCTAAAAATAAAATCGTAGGGCGTCTGGGTGGTTCAGTCAGTCAAGCGTGGGACTTCACCTCAGGTCACCATCTCACCATTAGTTCGTTCTGGCTGACCCTGTGCGGCTCTCTGCTGTCAACTAGGAGCCTGGAGCCTGCTTCGGATTCTGTGTCTCCCTCTCTCTCTGCCCCTCCCCCACTGACGCTCTGTCTCTCTCTCTCTCTCGCTCTCTCAAAAATGATTAAACATTTAAAAATTTAAAAATAAATAAAATCTTTAAAAAATGGAGGGGCACCTGGGTGGCTCAGCCAGTTAAGTGTCCAACTTCAGCTGAGGTCATGATCTCACAGTTCATGAGTTTGAGCCCCACATTTGGCTCTGTGTTAATGATGCAGAGCCTGCTTGGGATTCTCTCTCTCTCCCTCTCTTTCTGGCTCTCTCTCTCTCTCTCAAAATAAATAAACTTTAAAAAGGAGGGGGGAGGTACCTGGGTGGCTCAGTTGGTTAAGCACCTAACTTCGGCTCAGGTCATAATCTCAGTTCTGTGCTTCTAGGCTGGAGCCTGCTTCAGATTCTGTGTCTCCTTCTCTCTCTGCCCCTCTCCTGCTCATTTTATCTCTCTCTTTCTTGAAAATAAATAAACATCAAAAAAAGAAAAGAAAAAAAAGAAAGGTGGTGGAGCCACCCACTCAATTCATCTCATACCAACCCTGGTCTTGAATTGCATTTCTTGGACACCATGAAAGGAATAGCTACAGAGAGAGTTCAGAATGACCCTTCTAAAAAAATGTGCACCCGGGTGCCTGGCTGGCTCAGTCAGGGGATCATGAGACTTTTGATCTTAGGTCGTGAGTTTGAGGCCCACAATGGGTAAAAAAAAAATTGGGGGAGGGGGTGCCTGGATGGCTCAGTCAGTTAAGCGTCAGACTTCGGCTCAGGTCCTGATCTCATGGTTAGTGAGTTCAAGCCCCATGTCAGGCTCTGTGCTGACAGCTTCCGATTCTGTGTCTCCCTCTCTCTCTCTGCCTCTCCCCCCTCACGCTTTGTCCCTCTCTCTCTCTCAAAATTAATAAACATTCAAAAAATTTTTAAATGTTTTTAATTAAAAATGTGCATTTACTTCTCTCTTTCTCTCCTCCACCCTTTTCTTTCTCATTCCTTTCTTCTCTCTCTCTCTCTGAGGCCTTCAAAATCCTAGAGAAAAGTTGTCCCCGACAGATTCCCCTCTGCCTTCCTGAACCTTCCATCTGCTCTCAACTCTGGATGACAAAAGCTCAGAGAACCAGCCCAAAAGAACAGAGCCCTTCTCAGAGGGGGCAGAAGGAAAGACACAGACCAAACCACACCCCAGCAGTGGGGGGTAAAGGGTGTGGGCCAGGCTAGGAACAGTCCTGTGCTGTAATGTGCTGTAAGACTCTTGTGCTCATGCATATCACAGGGTTGTGATGAGGATAAAATCTCTTACTTGTGAACTCCCCACCCCCACAGGGAAGTCTCCACAAAGGTGGCTGTTATTAGCATTATTAATAACACAGTGTGTTCACCGCAGACATGAAAAAGATGAGCTGTTATTTGTGTATTTTTCTTTAATCAGCATTTAAAAATTTTTTAAATTTATTTTTGAGAGAGAGCATGAGCAGGGGAGGGGCAGAGAGAGAGGGAGGCAGAGGATCCAAAGCAGGCTCTGCACTGACAGCAGTGAGCCCCCTGCGGGGCTTGAACTCACAAACTGTGAGATCATGACCTGAACCAATATTGGATACTTAACCGACTAAGCCACGCAGGCACCCCTGTGTATTTTTCTTCTATGAAACAGATCTCGATCTGAGATGGCGAGTCAAGGGGGAAATAGGATTCACTTTGTAGAACGCCTGTCCCCTCTCAGGGCCTCTGTTTCTCTAACTGGAAATGAAGAGGTTGGACTTAACTAATGTTTTCCAGACATTTGGATTCCCAGGCCCGGTGCCTGGGCCCCAAGTGACCTGACTGTATTTGTTTTACAGGGGCTACTGGTGGCAGTGCCCTCATGGGCAAGATTGGTGCCCTTCTGGGCTACACTGTCCACAAACACCTTGAAAATAGCAGGGAGGAAGGGCATGAGGAGGAGGAGGAGTAGCCCGAGGCTCCCAGGAAACCCTTCCTTCCAGTTGTAGTCGAGAGTTTTCTCTGTCACACTCATCCTAAGTGGAAAAAAAAAAAAAAGAATAAAATTCTATCAGAAAACACTTTGTCCTTCTGTGAGTCTCCCTTACGACGGGAAACCCAACAAGATCTGGCTCCCATTTACCTTACGCACACACCTCCAACCCTCTTCTCCCCTAAAGCCAACCACGGCTCCTGGGACACAGCCAGGTGGTTTTGTCCCTGGGCCTCAGCACATGCTGAGAGCACATCTCTCTGCCTAGAATGTCCTCCGGAAGCTCATAACCCAGCTCCGGCATCCCCTGCTCTGGGATTCCTTCCCAGCAGAGCCTCCTGCCACAGCGCAAACGCTCAGGCTCAATTTCACAGAGTGCCTGGGGAGGCAGAGCTCAGTCTGTTCTCAGTGGGAGAAGCTTCCAGCTACTTTTCTGATGAGGCAGAGATGGAGAAGCCAGATCCCCGTTTGCTGGAGAAGCACTAGAGTGGTCTCCCTTAGGTGGAGAACACAGGCCAGACCTTTGCCTTGGGGAGAGTGTGTAACAGACCTCAGCAAGGTCTCCTTCCCTCTAAGAACTCCGGGGGATCAAGCGGACAGTTGGCATATATAGGCTTTACACCTTCCGAGTGGGAAAGGAAGGCCATACCAAACCTTTGAGGGAGATCTGAAGTTAGCGGGGCCCGCCCAGGTGAACCTGGGTTGCCTGGACCTAGGTCGGCGGGGGGCAAAGAGGCCCTCAAAAGCAAATGGCAGTCAAGACAGGGCCGGTTCTGGTCTATGAGTGGGCACACCAGCTTCCACGCCAGCCCAGCCTTCCTGGGAGGTCTGCATGCCTGGGAAGGGGTCGCGTGCGAACCACAACATCTCATCACAAAAAGGGCCACGTAGGCCGTCCTCGGGCCTCCCCCGCCTCACCCCACTTATAACCCAGAAAAGCTTCTTTAGCTAGCAATGTGTATGGAGGTGGGTAAGAGGTTCCATCCTGCTTGCTCTTGCCCCCAGATCTAATGCCATCTCTGTAGGTGGCAGCTGTCTGCCCCCGCTGGCTTGTCCCAGGCCCCGGAGAAGCACTGCTCCTGGAAGAGGCACACAGGTCATAGAGGTGCCACCTGTGCCACACACGCTCTTCATGGCTTGTGTCCAAGAGCAGAAGCTGGGCTGTGTCCCCCGATACTTACCATAGGGCCTCTGCAGAGCCCCATCTCGGCTGGGGCCATCCAGGGACCGGCACACAGCAGACTTCTGCCTACAGAGGAAGGTGAGGTCTCAAGCATCAGACTCTACTGAAGCCTGCACCCCAGTTTGTCTATAAGGTTGACATCCCAGAGACATAAGTGTGTGTCCCTCAACACTTTCAGAGAGAGCGCTGTCCCTAATTTATCTTTTCTCCCCAGTGCCTGGCACAGGCCCCATATAGGTGCTAATAGATGTGGGTAGACTTGAACCTGAGGTTCATCCTGCTATCTGCCTGTCCCTTCCCCTTCCCCAGTATTCATGGGAAGGATGACTGGACCTCTTGTTCTTTTCCTGGGGGAACCTTGATAATACCCACTGTCACTACCATCTAGGCCTGGGGATCGGGGACCTGAACCCCTTTTAACACCGTGGTCTGAGTAAATACAGGCCCCCTAACCTCTTACTCAGCATTCTCCAGCATAGATGAGGCAGGGGTTTTCACATAAGGCAGTGGGGCATAGTAGTTAGGAATTCCCTCTGGAGTCCTACGGACCTAACACGAGTTCCTTCACTTCAGGCAACTCAGTTTCCACCTTTGTAAGATTAGAGCAGAAAGCAGAGAGGAAATAGCCAAATAGCAACCAGGAGTTAGATCGTGTGACTTTGGGGCCAGGGCTTACTTTCTGGAACTCACAGACCCTATTCTTCCTTGCTCCCAAGGATAAGCGTCCTGATCCCAGGAGCATATACAACCCCACCCCCACCCACCGCTGCAGTTATTCCCCTGAACAGCATCAAGGCCAGAGAGAGACAGCTCTGCCCCCAGGATTTCAGATTTGAGGCCTCAGCACTTCTCAGGCTGAATGACACTGAAAATTACCCATCTCTAAGGGGACACTCTTCTTACCACAGATCCCTTGGGTCTGTGCAGGGTAACTCCTTGCTTTCACACTGCAGGCATTTCCCGGGCCCTCAGTCGGAGTCAGGCGCTATGCCAGCTGCTTAGAACACCGTGGTGAAAAGAGACCCAGTTTCTACCTCCCTGGAGCCCACAGTGCACAAACTAGGAGCCCCCCAAAGTGTCTACGGACTCCTTCTCCTTCCCTGTCACGAACTATTTGCCCCCCTCTCCTTATACCCATCCTGGCCCCTGCTAGCCGTCATGGACCACATCATCCTCTCTACAAAGTGTGAGGCGGAAAGATGAACACAAACCCGAATTCACTAATGGCAACAAGTCAGGAGATGCTAATGCACCTTTAGACCCCTCCTTGGCAGTGGCCTTCAGACAGACCAAAAGCTGAGTCCTGGCCCAGCAAGTGTTGGGGCGCCTCTCTGAGTCTTAGCTTCCTTGCTTTTATAACAAAGGGGCTCAGACATTCTGGTCTCTGAGGTACTTCCTGGCCTAAAACTGCTGAGTCTGAAGCACACGGTTCGGAATCCTCTCGGTCCTGTCTGATCCAGGCCCTCTGAGTGTGGATTTTATTTTTAGAAGCTGCCAAAAGCCACCTTGTGGTGCCAACTTCGGTGACTAAGGTGGGTGATGGTGCCGAAAGATGCCATGTTTGGTCACAAATGAGGGTGACTAGAAGCCAGCAGGGCAGTTCCGCACTCTGGGACCACACCCTAAGGCAAGTCCAAAAATAGATCCCATCTGTGTGGCTGACTTGATGGAAAACAACATTGAGGTCCTCTGTCCTCATCATTTTTCTCTGGGCCTCAGTGTCATAGTCTGTGAAATGGAGGAGGGGAGGGGTGGGACTCTCATCTAGACCTAGAACGTCTTTCCCAAGGCCTCAAGTTGGAAGTGTCTTTCTCTTTAATAAAATCCGTAGGAGTTTCTTTTATTCTTCAAGGGCTTTCCTGGCCCCTATACCCTGGAAAGTCCCCTCACTCCCTCCCTCTCAGGGTCGGCCTCCTACCGTTCCACAGTGCTATGTGCCACTGTGGCCACCAGGTGGCAGTACAGTCCCACCCTGAATCTCCCTCTGCCTGCCTCATCCTTTAGCCGCTCCCCGATTACCAGCCGCTCTCCCTGGGGCAGACACCATGGATGCTGAAGACCAAAGTGAATCAGACGCAGCCCTTGCTTTACAGCAAGAGCTCCTGAAGCTCACAGGAGTGGTCAGTCCTGAGGATCCCTGCGGGGCCTGCTCCTCCTCCCCCTTGCAGGCCCTTAGTCCTCCAATGCTCGGATCTCCAAACTCCAGAGCGCAGCATTCAGGACTCCCTGCAATCAGGGCTCATCTCCAGGTCTACAGCCTGTGCTTCCAGACCTGGGCCACAGAGATGTAAAGGGAATGAAAAGAACAGTCCACACAAGGAAATGAAAAGAACAGTCTCCTTGACTGGGTAGCAGAGAATGATACCAGGTACAGGGCATCTCTGGACTCAGCCTTGAAGGGGGCCTGGGTCAGCAGTAGCTGGAGGGAGCTGAAGCAGAGGAGGCCTGTGGCTTCCTGTGAAGAACTAAAGAGCCACTTCCTTTAAGCAGATGGCTGTGGGGGGAGGGGCAGATGATAAGGGAGCGTGGGCTTCCCAGCTTGGGGGGAAAGAGAGGGGCCCCAGAAAGGCCCTATTAAGAGACCCAGAGCATCTTTCTATTTCCCTCTCCTCTGAGGTTTCCATGGAGCAAACAGTGCAGACCGGTAGGGTCACACCCTTCTCATGTGCCATGAAGCCACCGAGAGGAGAGTCAGTTTAGGGGCAGGTTCCTTTGCATGAGGCCAGTAAAGAAACGGAGGCTTGATTACTCCAAGAAGCAGGCCCAAGCACTCAGCCCCAAGTCCAAGTACTGAGCCTCAGAGCCCAGTCCCACACCTCCAGATCTAAGGTTTTACGTTTATAACTCATTTAATCCTGACAACAACCCTCTTGGGTGTTATTAGAATCCTTGTCTTATAAATGAAGAAATCAAAGCAGAGAGAGGTTAAATGACTTCCCTAAAATAAACAGCTAGCAAGTGGCAGGGGCAAGATTTGAATCTCGACAGTCTTTCTAGAACAGTACCCTCCATCCACCCCCCCACCCCCCAGCACTCAGTCCAGCAACCAGGCAGCCTGTAGATCCTCTCTCCTAATTATTTCTGGAGTCTGTTCACGATTCTCCACCCACATGGCCCTCTCTCATCACTAGTTCAGGCCTAGAGGACACCTACAAGGTCTTCCTAATGGGTCTCACTGTGTCCACTCTGGTTTATTATCCACACAGGGCAAGGAAGATCTTAAAACCAAGCCAAACAAAGTGACAATGCCCTCCCTCCCCCCACCCCACCCCCCTACCCCGCTTCAAATCCTCCAGTAGCTGCCCATCACACTTAAAATAAAATTCTACTCCCTTTCTCTGGACGTCAAGGTCTTGAATCATCTGTTCCTCCAAAGCTCCAGAGTCTTATCTCACCTTGCTTCCCCTCCCCCAACTCGTTTCCAGCCATAGTAGCCTCTTTTTCTTTTCCAGAACCCTCTAAGTGCCTGCCAACCTCAATGCCTTCCCACAAGCTCTTCTCTCTGCCTGGAACACTTTTGTTGCTTCAGGAGTCAGCTCGAATGTAACTTCTCCAGAGACCCGAGCCCCCAATCTAAATTAAACACTCCGTTATCCCAGCAGCCTGTACCTTATGTTCCTAGAATGGATCACGATTGTAATAAAAGCATGATTGGTATAAGCATTTGTTACTGTCAGATTTCTTCACTAGACTCCGAGCTCCGTGAACACAAGCACAAGGTTCATCGTTATTTATCACCAGCACCCGCTCAGATCCTAGCACACAGGAGGTGCCCAATAGCTATGGTTGAGTGGATGGTCCAGATGGATGGACAGACGGATGGATGGGTGGTTGAAGAGCGACTCAGTGAATAAACACATTTTAAAATTAGGAAACTATTTGCCCTGCCTGTATGTCTCAGGGCA